AAAATACATATACACATCTTATACAAAAAAGTTTAATTACAAAGTTTGGTGAGTATCAAATTATTAGAGGAGATTGCATCTCGATGGCACAATTTTCACAATTTAGACTGTTTAAAAAAACAGGTAATTAATATGATACTCTAATATGATATAAACATAAAGAGAACCTTTTTCTACATTTTCATGTCAGGAAATACTATTCTGTGCACTATATATTTTAGTTTACCAATCAATGAACATATTGTGGTGCTTTATGGTATTTAATAAGATGTAACTAACACTTTATATAATCTGTTCTTTTTTTAAATACGTCACTACCCAGACATAAAGCTGACATTGTTTGTCATCATTTTAATTTGATTGTCACATAAAACATTGTGGCTAAACTTTTTGACGCCCATATAAAAATTTGTACAAGAAACTGTGCATATAAATATTCTGTAAATTACATCGCAAACGTGATGCAACGAGATGCGTTAAAGTCGCATTGAAAATTATCCGTGCTTTCTTGCCAACTCTAAAATAACATTTAAGAATTTTACATGAAAGTATACGGTCATCACAGAGCCCCTCCCCCGAAGATTACCTCGTGTAATAGCGAGTCGTGCATGTATCTGTAACGGTGTGGACAGCTTTAATTGGTATTTACGACGACACAGCGGGCATGGCGAATGCACTTGCCCTGACGCGGACGTTCGATAGTTCTCTCGATGCTGATTACCAGCTAAATGGATTACTCTTCGATAGACTATTACGCTGAACACTCCCACGAGATGTGCTCTGCAAGTGTAATTACATGTTGTAGGCCTCGGAGACTCAGGTGCGAGAAGACCGATTAACGTGCGTTATGTTACGCCTACTAGACGATAATTTGCCAAATAAATGAGTAATACTCTCTTAGATCGTTATTTTATTAGCAAGTAAGTTCAAGATAAATATGTATTGTTTTGTATAATTTTCTGATCATCTTAAACGCATCGTCCGATCGTGAAAAATTTGAATAAGCCGAAGTCTTTTTTATAAAGTTAATATATATCTAATTTTTGATTAACAGAGATTTCTTGACTTCATATCAGAATTGATTTTATACAATAATTTAATAATAAATAATTTTCCTTATCCCCCTCGTACATGATAAAAAATCTGCGACATCCAACGTCATGATTAAAAAATGAGAAAGAAAAATTTTTGTTCAAGTTCGGGACGTGTAGATTCTCGTATGCAGAAACGGTGGATTAAATCACCTGATAAAACGTTGATACGAATAATCGATCGAGTTAGAGTAACGCCGGCGAACAATGCAGAAAAATGAACGAGAAAAATTATCCGAAGAATTCCGATAATTGTACACGTACGGAAGAGAGACGAACGTGCAATGAGCGAGAACTTTCGTTCTACCGGACAAATATTATCCTCACGACGAACGAGCGAAAATATAGACAAAAAGATGCTCTCCTCTAGATGTGAGCGTTATCGCACGGTCGCCGTATATTCAGACGTGGAGAGTTGGAGGTCTAGTACGCGCGGGGTCTAGATTTAAATTTAAATTCAAATCGGCTTCTTGAAATGCAATAAAGTAGCGTCACTTCATGAAGCTTTCCGCCATTTTAGATGAAAATGGGGCCGGTGACTGCCGCACGGCGGAAACGCGAGAGATTTAATTAGAGAGTATGTCGAGTGGATTTGGTATTTACGAGCTGCATATGAGAATTTCGACCGGATTAACTGCATATTGCAGCCTATATAGAGAATGCATTTGGCACGCATTAATTAAGTCACGTTGAAAAGCGGCATGTTGGGGAAAAAAGAACAACGAAAAAAGGAAGCGTGTTAATCCGTTGAGATTCAATATTTATATCCAACACATTTTATAACTTTTACGTTGTTAATATTTTTATTCTTGTTATTTAATATTACTGTTTTTATGACAGGAGATTGAAAGAAAAAATGAAAGAGATGAGAGTGCACGTGTTTCGTTTGTGTGCATTGTGTGTATATTCTATGTGTGTGTGATGTGTGCGTGCGCGTTTGAGCGTACTGTTTGAAGTTTTACATTCGTTTTTGTAAAAAAAATTGTCATGCGTATGTTCGTATACATATGCATGGAAAGAAATTGAAAAAAATTCAAACATAAGATTTAATCCAAATAAGCTGCGCGAATACGAGCACGAAAACAAAGATAAAAATCTAGCATACCTAGTTAGGGATGTAAAAGCCTTAGTGAGAGGAAAATTATTTCTTGCGGGACGAATTGTACGGCAAATATTTACCGTGGATTTTAACGTAAAGAACATATCGCGTAAAACGGAAAAATCACTTGACTTATCGTACGCGTAGATTCAGAAGAGACGGATTAAACGGTCGGCCATTTATGAATAATTACTTAATATGGCACACTCTCGTGAGAGTGCTAAAGTCCGTATGCAATCTAGAAGACAGAAATGAGATATAAAATTAATTTAAGCCAACTTAATGGAGGCTGTAAGGCCACTTTTAACTCTCTTTTGAATAATGCATGAGTCTTTTGAATAGAGCGCAAAAAGTACGTGAAGCGAAAAGCCGTAAGAGCGTGAGAGATTTAAGGAGAAGAGGCAAATTTCAACGCGACCGCAGATACAAAGTGACACATGCAAGTATCGACAAGATATATAAATTATTAAAGTTTTCAGATACAAGTCAGAGAAGAACATTTTTGAATTTATAAGAAATAATTGATCAAAATAAGTAAGAAATTCACAAATCTTTTCAAAATTGTATATGTTCCTTCAATAAGTACCCAAAAGAAAACTGCTCATATATATGATATACACACAGTTTAATTAAATTTGTATATTGTTTTAATAAATTTTTAATATTGTATTTTAATAAATATCTAATTTCATCGTGATATTGCAGAATTTATAAAATACTGTTCGTACAGGAAATATATTTTATTCGTATTTATTTTTGTGCATAATTAATGTTCATCGTAAATAAACCCTTGATATGTTTCTTTATGCTACTTAATTAAATGTAACAGACAGAATGTGAAAACATCTGCTACTTTTAATTAAGAAAAAATCACGGTATACAAAAAAAATATGAGTTATACGTTAATTTTCATATCCGTATAAAAATGACTCTTGCAATTTTCAATTATAAATAATTATAAATTATCATATTATACATATGTATTATATATTTAATATCGATAAACACCACCACTATCACGAGTAGTATATTAAACGCATAGCTCCAAGAATAAATACAAATAAAATAAAGGAACAATGAGCTAAGAAGAACCAACGAATATATATATATTTGTGAATAATAATAACATTATAAATCAATTACTCATATTAAATTAAATAAAGATGCATACGTTTCAATTTTAACTTTGTAGTTCTCTTCATTGCACATAAGAGAGAAGAGAGAGAGAGAGAGAGAGAGAGAGAGAGAGAGAGAGAGAGAGAGAGAGAGAGAAGATAAACATAGGTTAAAATAAAATTGCAATAAATAAAGTATTGAAATGCGAAACAATAGTCACAGTAACATTTTAAATAAAGCTTATTATCGATTACATTTTCGAATTATTTTTGATTACACAGCTTTATTTTTTGACGCAACTTTCGATTTAACATGACATGTAATTTCAACTTTATTTAATAACTCTAACTATTGTTTTACACTTTGATATGTAATTGTTTATTTTAATTTTATTTTGGTTCATGTTGGGTTAAAACGTTTTTATTTATGTAATTTACTATGTAATTGACTAAATAAATTGATTTGCTTTAAGGGAGAAATTCGCGTTAAAGTTATATGAGTTATATAACTTGAGTTGTATCAAATACAAATAATCAAGAAATACTACTTTATCGTTTGAAAATATACATAAATTAAATAATACGCTTCATGTAAACTATCATTTTTATTTCTCACATTATCGAAAAATCTTTTATTCATTGGAAAATAATAATGAATAATATTGGAGAAGAAATAATTATTTTCAATTAAAAATTTCATATAAAGTTACATGTATGTATATTATATGGTACATACATTGTAAAAAATAAAATGTTAATTTTATTTCAAAGACGTTGAGTGGATTTTCTGAGATATGCAAAAATATTAAAATTAACACAATTAAATGTTAATTTTAACATTTTTGCATGTCTCAGAAAATCCACTCAACGACTTTGAGTTAAAATTACCATTTTATTTTTTACAGCGTAGGCTTGGTGTAATTGTGCTAATTGAAACATGTAATTGACACTGTTGGTGAATCCCATGATCCTACAATGTGATGTTTGCATGAAACAGTACGATCAATAAATGGTTTGCTATGATCGTTAACCGATTTACGATCTTATTTCATGGCGACTGACATTTGCAAATTGTTAACGTCGTACCGTGTATATTATGACATATACATCATTACGATTTATCTTTACAAAGACAGCCTGTTTCTACAATATAGTAAATATCAAAATAATTAATCGTAATGAGTTATTAGAATATAATCGAGCACAGAATTGTTGCAACTAAATGCACAAATCAAATTATATAATAAAATTAAATTAAAAAATTACAGGATTACAACAGGATAGGATAATTTTATTACTTACGTTTATATTTGTACAAATTAAACAATTTTATATACAACACGCTAATACTGTTTACATTTCTACCATTAATGCGATTACATACTGAACTATCAAAACGTTAATGGAGCATTAAATTAGTAGGAAGGAAACATTCACAGTAGTACAACCTCGTATTAGTTAGCCAAAATACATTAGCGAATAATGTAATCGCAATTCTCGATACAACAATTACTATGGGATTTGTTCTAATCCGTGGTACATGATTTTAGGTTAAACTTGCCTTAGTTATTCGAAGTAAATAATTCGACGAGAGATTTCTCCAGAGATTCAAGCGATATACGTAAGCGAGTGTTCAGGATGGGATCATGTATTACAGGGAGATGTGAGAAATGAAACAAACAAACCAAATCATACATGTCGCATGAGCTCTCGTACGATGCCGTTCCATTCGCCGGTCTCCGGATCTCGTGCGCCGTACTTCCTGTCCGGTACCAGCTCCAAGCGGTACGAGAAGCCTACCTCCCTCGCCACCACCGCCAAGAGGTCCATGCAAAAACCGTAAAATCGCGAGTTCCCGGTGTAGTTCTTTCCGTGGTGCATCATCACGTACGGCGTCTCCTGCGTCCGACGACGAGCGAACCGGAATTCATGCAAGAATAACGAAAAGCGCTTTGAGACCGCCGCGGCGTAACGCGGATTTATGACGAGACACGTTGGCGCCGACCATATCGAGGAACTTTCAACGGCTATCGCGCGTTTCTCGTTCGACTCGTTCTTCCAAAATGGGTGGTACGGCGGTGTCGGAGTTGCAACAATAAAACAGTCGGCATTATGCGGCAATCTATCTCGCTTTGCGTGTATCTTCCCTTCTTTTTTTTTTTTTTTAGAAAGCAGAAATTATTATGAATATATTTGAATACATTCCTTTAAGCTGCGTCCAAATGTCGCATAATTTTGCAATAAAGTTGCACGTAGATTTATATAAAGATATGCAAGGAAGAACGAAATTATTGCGCAACAAAATGCAGATTTGATGTCGATAGAAACTCACCAGTATAGTGATTACAATCAGAGTTACGTTCCCGATGCTAGGCTCGAAAAAGGCCGCGGTGTCTGTAACGTTGACACCGGCGCCGGGACGCCACTCGCCAACCTAGTTTTACATATAATTTTATTACATACACATTTGATATTCGCGTTGCCCTCCTAACACGCTTCCTGTTTTGCTTACACGACGTACCTTAACGAGTGAGTGTTGTTTCAGTTTCAGCAGATCCAATTTAAACTGAATTCTACGGCCTTCTTTAAATTCAATAGGTCCGGAGATTCCTTTCATCTCGACCTGCAACAAAAACCATTGCGGATTCGCGTTCGTGAGAGTGCACTCTTACATATGTTACATGCATGAGTTCGTCAGCCTTATTCCGCGCTCGATTCAGCGTGACGGTACAGCAGATTGAATTTGAAAGAACAAGCATTTTGTAGAGCACACGTACAATATATATTTCAGTTTTTGAACACGGCCGGAGACACTACCACGTCTCCTGATACTCCAATGACAGTATTCCAGTTATTTCTTCAATCCCATTTATTCAGTCCTATTTATTTCAGTTGACAAATGAAATTCGATTTAAATCAGTACGTAATTTTTAAAGTTTAAATATAGCAATATAGGGGCATTTTTTTTAAATAAGTTAGAAACAAGAATTACTTTATTCCGATACCTATGATCGTAAAATACCTGAGATAAGACTTTTGGCTACGTTGTACTACGAGTATTATAACCCTTCTGCGCCACTTTGAATATGACGTACCTAGCTTTCTTGTTCCAAAACTTTTTCAATGCTTTTCCATTGTTTAACTTTTAAGCTGCGCGATTTACGTGTTATTTTCGTGTCTTGATACATCGTTAAATGCTAAAGTTTCGTGAACATGTAGTTCACTTCATCAGAACAGGAAGCAATCTGATACTGAGTTGCTTCTCTTGGGGATTCACTTTCTATACATTGTATATGTGATATAGAAAGAGGAGAGGAGAAGAGAAAGCTGAGAATGTAGTGTGGCTTATAACTTTTCATTAATAAATTTACAAAAAGAATTAAATTTACAAAATGATATGGATCTTTTATATTATGACTTTTCTATAAAGTTTTGATATTGCTGTGTTTATCTACTTTATTTATTAATTTATTGTATGAACCGTTCGATAATCTCTCACAAGCTCAAAACATCTTGAATTACACACATTTAATTGTTGTTCTTATTTGCGCTCTGCTTTGTCTTCTTGTCGTTACTATATATTACTGATACAAATTTTTTATTATTTTACTTGACTATAATTGCTTTAATTAATGTAAGTTTTAATTAATTTTATATATAGTTTACTGTAAAGCAAAATTGTGCAATTTGATTAACTTTCAATATTATGCTAAAGAAGACCTAAATCGGGGATCGCAACGTCTGTATTTAATTTCAAATAATACATTCTCTACACGTTCATCAGTTCTCGTGAGCTTTATTGCAAAATTTGATTTAATAATAAAAATACGTACATTTTTTTATATCTTAATATTTAGCATTTCAATTAAAAACAGAACTTTTTTACAGTACTATTTTATAAAAGTTTAAATAACCGAATTAGTTGAGTATCCAAGTGCGTTGTTTTCTTGGTACCGAAGGGATAATAGAAAGTTAGCCTAGACGAGAAGATTTTCTACATGCTCCATATAAACTGCATTAAAATGCGATGCAAGATGGATGCGCATCGCCGGCATAAATCTCTCAATTTCGGCGAGCATCAGCGCAAAGACAAAACTCGTCCTGCAGTAGTTTGGCTAACGGCTAGTGGCCGTATTACCGGCTCAGAAATTTTCCTAGTTGCCTTAAAAATTTTCGCACTTAGAAAGTCGTTACCGTTTACGGGGGCGCGAATCTCGTAAAGCTGTTAAAGCTCCTTTCTTGAGGATTTTACGCCACTCATACGCTATTCAGACGAGAGCGGTAGGTCATATTCGCTGGCTTTCGGTAAAATGCCATGAAATTTGCGGGACCATCAACGATTACCTAAGTAATAAAGTGACCTAAGTAAGAAAGTGATAGAACATTGGCGAAAAATACCTAGCTACGAAACAGATGGATACGTACAGTTTTGAAAAAAATCATGAAATGTACGAACTTCTAGAAGAAAAAGATAAGCGGGCGAATCTCTTTTACAATTGACGATATTATTTCAAAATATTTTTAATTATATTTATTTATATTTAATTATATTTCTTTTTCTTTCTCCTCCCCTTTTATTTCGATAAAGCTTAAGGGGCCTCCAGACAATATGGCCAACGTTCGGCAACATTAGCAAGAAATATCATACATACACGTCATACACAATTATACATATTAAATGCCAATATTTAGCGATATGTGCAAAGTTGGCGTATATATTGGCCATATAGTCTGGAGGCGTCTTTAAAATGTCTATTAAGCTAGCACAGCCACTTCAGCACAATCAAACGCGACCAATAACACATATTATGCTATTTTTTTGCTACTTTTTTGCTCTATTCCCGATTTTTTTGCTCCAGCCGATTTGTTAAAACTCATGGCTGTGCTAGATTAAGACTAAAGTTAGCACAGCCACAAAGGAAAATAGCAGCAAATGAAAAATCAAGTGCATATTCTTGAAGGGCTATTTTTTTGCTAATTTTTTGCTCTATTCTCGATTTTTTTATTCACCGTTTATGTCGAAAAATTCGACCCAAAGTATGGCTGTGCTGGCTCGCGTACAAGAGTAAAGTACATTAAAGCAATCAATTGTCGGGATCATTTTGGTCTCGAAATGTTTCTAGAATTATTTGCTCTAAGAATATCCAGAATCCGATTTTTTTGCTCACCGTTTATGTCGAAAAATTCGACCCAAAGTGTGGCTGTGCTGGCTCGCGTACAAGAGTAAAGTACATTAAAGCAATCAATTGCCGGGATCATTTTGCTCTCAAAATGTTTCTAGAATTATTTGCTCTAAGAATATCCAGAATCCGATTTTTTTGCTCATTGTTTACGTCGAAACATTCGACCCACACTGTGGTATATGATTTCGTATATTAAACGATGATTTATATTGTTTCTATATGAACGACTTCTATAACATTCACTAAAAATCTGTACTTTAAAAGTCAAATATTTATTATATATATAATATTTTAAAATCTTTTTGTCATACCTTTCTGTGGAATAACATTTTTTTGTTACAAAACCGAGGAAGTTACAATTTTTTTATAGCAATGCACTTAAATCTGGTGAAACATCCTTTTATACTTTTATTTTCCTATACGTTCGATATAACCCATATGTTTGCTGTGAACCGCAAAGAATTAAAATGTAAGAGCTCGATTGTAAAAAGAAAAAATGGAAAATAACTGCGTAAAGAAATATACGCATACGGTTTAATAACGTTGCAAATATTACTTTTTTATTATCCAATTTTTCATCATTAATACAGTTTGTATTATTAGATTTTCAAATATTAAAAATTGTACAGAAATTTTATTGATGTTCTTGGGATTATGTACTATTCACGGCAGGATGCATCTGGCAACGAAATTCGAAAAACAAATAATACCGGATAAAAGAAATGCATTTCAGCTTATTCTCGCGGCAGTAAAATCGTCCCATCTAATCGTCGATTCGCCTTTCCCGATTTGCGAATAAAATCGCCGCAAAATAAAACAAAAATACATTTAAATCTTCATAACACTTCTTGGTAATGTTGAATTCTTGATAATACTGAAATATGATAAAAAAACATGGTGCTTGAATAAATAATATTTACAAATATGGAAACACGAGAGTTGAAGAGAGCTAAAAATTTTTTGATGGCATTTCATTTCTGTGAATTAATGCAAGAATGGAATACGTAGAAATGGAAAATGATGTGGAGCAGAGCAAACGCAAGTTTAAAGTTTAATTATCCCATTGAGCAGAAACTTTTGCTAAGAGAAAATTGATGATTTCTCATTTCTATTGCCTCAATGTTCCCACGTTCTCTTTTATAACAAAATAGTAAGAAATATTATAGCATAACATTCGTCTTCCTTTTAAAACAAAACCATTAATGTTCTTCTAAATCGTGCTCCTAGGTTAACTTAAAAGTTACGCGAGGCATAATTAATACTCCAACACACTGAAGTATATACAGTCGCACCACATTTATCTTGGCCACATTCTTTTGCATTAGTTTTATATTTTCCACGAGTGCAGCCGAGTTGACTGTCCACCAGATTTTTCGTCAGCGCGGAACCATAAAGTGTGAAATTAACGTATGAAAAGCGACATTGTACTAAATTAGCGACATCGCATGTTTTAAATATATTACACTGGTGCCCTCATAAAATATTCATAACATGTAAATTATGCTATTGCATAAATGAATGTAAATGTAAAATGTTATGACAGTTCGCAAACCGCGACTACTAAATACCGCTTCACGCGCATTTAAACATACTTCATAATAAATTAATAACATAGATTTAATAAACAATGTCATTGTATTTCTCTCTATATTATATGTTACATCTTCATATTTTATTATCGAGAATTACAAATTGTTTCAGATAAATACAAAGACTTGACTGTTGCTAACTTCAAAATTGTTAAATTTATACATGCCTTGTAGCATTACAAAGCTGTTTTTTCTAACTGAATTGAAATTTTAATTCTCTTTGCTAATCAAATATTGTTACTATTGTTAGGAAACAAATCTGAAAGAAAGAATGGAAGATTTTCATTCTCTTGCTAATAAAATATTGCAACTTGTTGAGAGAAACTTTAAAACCTTGGACAACTTAAAAATAAAAAACTATTATAAAATTCGTATGATTATACACATGATATAATAAAAATAAATATATAAAGCCGATTTACAAATTAAGTATGTTTTAGATTTTTATAATAGTTTAATTAATTTTTGTACTTATTTAGTTTATCATCTTCTGACTGATATTTATTAAATATTAAATAACAAATGTAATTTTTTGAAGATGGCTAGACTTTCATCTGTTCGCATAACTCCTTGCTATTTTAATAAAGTGGCGTGTCACAAAATCCTCGTAGTCTAACAGCTTTAATTCCCTTTATTATACGCCTATCAAAATTCAGGTGGGCCGCAAGGACAGCCAGAATGAACGATCGGTAAATTTAGCCCGGTATCTCCTGCAGTCGCTATTCGGCAGTCACTCTTGCGGCGAGTCTAATTAAAGCCAAAGCGGAAGTTACCACGGATTGTCGAGCGTGACACCAATGCGAAAGTGTCTCACTTTCGCAGCGAGAAAATGTCGCGGGGCAACGGTAACG